GGCCGGTGTGGCGGTTGATTCTGTGAGGGTGTCGGTGCCTTCCTGTGATGTTCCAGTGATCGGTGGAGCGTTGGGGTGGTTGCTTTCCCATGCAAGAACAGCGCCCCTGTGAAGGGGATCACACTCAGCACCCGAGTGGGACGGCTGAGCAGGACACACTTCGAACTTGGATTTTCAGTTAACGCAATTGTCTCGTTGGGAAGAAGGGCGATGGAACAGCAAGGTGGAAAGGTCAGCTTAAACTGTATTGTTGAACAATGTTGGCACTCGCAAGTGGCGGAAACGCGAACCGGCTGCACAGCTGCTGGGGACGAATGTTTATGGGGTGGAAACATGAAGGACCATGAATCAAAAAGTGGAAAAGTGGAGTCACAGCTTGTGAAAGAACGAGCAGGTACACAATGCGGCGTCCCGCATTGCTTTACCACGAACTGACAGCGTCTTCGTTGGGCAATGTCTGTCAGTCGTGCATTGCCCTGTGGTGACTTAGCTACAAGCAGTATCTGAATTGCCCCGAGCAAGTGATGGTGTGTCTCAAAGCAAATGCTCCCCAACCACAGTTCCAAGACATAAAATATATGCGTTTACTCGGGCCTTCGTCCCCTGCCTGTGGAAAAGTGGTGGGGTAAGACCCTTGGTCCAGGGTGGGACACACACACACAAAAGTGTTCCAAATGTCTACCCATCTATGACCCACTCAATCCTAACGTGATGGATTAACCGGACTGATGTCAGGTTTTTTGCCCCTCTGCTTTGCCGGCAAAGCACCCCCTGTTTGCGCGAGGCGTCAACGCTGCGATCTCCATCCTCGAAAAGGCGCGCGCCTGGCAACGCGCACTGAGCCTGGCGGAGGTTCTACATGGCCGGGAAGACGTTGTGACGTGGCTGCCAAGGGAAAACTACAGTCTCGAGCGGCAGGGAAAGCTGAAAAAAAAATTGATTGACAAGTTGTTTGGCCCTGGAAGAACCCCTCAACCTCACTGCAGGCTCTTTGAGCCACAGTCATTAATTGTTGGACCTGGAAGAGGGTGTTGTCTCCAAGGCTTTGACGAATATGACTCTTTTCGATTACCAAATGCTGCTGGCCATCCAAAATATGGTAGATGAGAAGTGGTTTGCAAACTTGAGGGTGCAGCAGGGAGTTGATACATGCTCTTGACACATGCCATGCCAAAACGTGCCCAAAATTCCGTACGCCAGCGCGCAAACGCGTCCTTGAAGAACACGGGGAGGGACGCCTCAGCAGACCCTGACGCCGCCCATGTGCTCCTCCACTTGGCCCAATCAGGTGACCTTCACCAGCTTGGCCCACACTCTGCCCGCGCAGGACCGGAACCGGTCGCTGCACAGCCGAATCGGCCCGACTCGGCCGTCTCGCGCGGAGGGCCATGCGCGCCCGCCCCCGGCAACGAGGGGGTCGACCGCTGAAGCACCACCATGGTTCGAGTGCGGCAAGAGTCTTGAGGGGCGGGTAGACTTACTTGAGCCTGCAGCCTGGTGTCGTCGCCCGAAGTAGATCGAATTGGCATGTGGTGGGCTTTTGCATCTATTTGAAGACCACCCAAGACTTTGGTTTTGAATCCAATGCATCATTGCATCCAACGCAGAGAAGCAGCAGAGCGTGGAATGAACCGTAATGAACCCTCCCAAAGCGTATTGCGGCTGCGATCGCAATCCGAAGCAACCTCATTCCTAAGCGGCGTGGGGGGGTGGCACCAGTCGGTAACAATGCAAAGAATTGATGAACCAAGGTTGTCTCAGAGTGATGGGGGGGGTTGGATCTTTGGCAAAGCTGTTTGCCACCCGCATCAACTGAACTCATCACCACGGGACATTCCAAAGGAATCCGAAGCGGTGCATGACTGATCAACACGGGTGAAGACAGCGCCTACGATGTACCTCTTGGTCGCAAGGGTTCCAAATGGTGGTCCAATCTGTTTTCTCCAAGTACATCCATCTTCTAGAAAACAGGGGTGTCAATCTGTTTTCCAAACACAAGAGCCCTGATGGCACGCTGTGGCCTTTGTATCTCTTCGACCTTTGCTCGGTGAGCTGTAGGTCCTAGATCCATTTCTGCAGATGTTGTGGATCCCATGTCGGCTGCGCTTGTGCGCTGGGACGTACACGGCGGTTCTGGTTCCCACGGTGTGGGGGAACACCTCGAGTTTTGCCAGAACACATATCAGAGAAAAAGAATGTCGGAACACTTGTCAGACAGAATACCAGAACAAATGCCGGAATAAATGACATACCGTGTGTCAGAACATGTCAGAAGCATATTTCGGAACACGTGACTGTGAGAGCAGATGTCAGAAGGCACATGCCACAAACCAAGCTTTGCACTCCAGGGGTTCTTGCATGTCGCAATATCCACCAATTCCTCGCCGATGGCCATCGGCACATGGACGACTTCCTTGTGACTTTCAATGGCACTGATGGCCAAGACTGTGACCTCGACGCCAGTCTCCTCTGGCTCCAGCATCATCTTCACATGGCCTTCTGGCTGCCGAACACGGCCGCGCACTTCCCACAACTGCCTGGTCACTGCTTCGAGTGCGCGGCTCGTACCTCCTTCTCTATGTTGCCGACCGGGCACTGGGTGGTCCTTGCGTTCTGGGAGCCAGCCGTGCTGGGAGACACATGTGAAGTTGAAGGATTGCCAGGCAGAGGCAGACACAGCAGTCCAGGGCTGGGAGACAAATGTAAAGGATTGCTCCACACAAGGCAGACACCTGCAAATGCATTGAGAACCCAACAGTAGACTGTTTGTGGAACAAAGAATCAAGAACAATGGGTTAGGCTTTTTCCAAAGCTGAACCCAAATGAAGCCATGCAACCCCCAAAATAGCCTAGAATATCCAAAAGCAACCAAATTCCCACGCAGGGCCCAACCTAGGAAAGCATGTAACGCATCTGCAAAGCCCACAGGCAAAACAAAAACGAGTGTGAGCACTAGGAGACACGAGCACATGTGGATTTCTTGTCTCCTCACTTGCATGTATTGGGGCAATTCCGTGTGTAGGAGCTCACGCCAGATACACATGCGGTGTGCCCGGGTCTTGGTTACATGGCATGGTCTACCATCATGTGGACGACATGCAACACACAAAATTATACCAGCGTAGACCCCAAACAGTTTGTGCGTTTATGAAGTTAACCACAGAGACGAACTGTCAAACCGTCAACGGCTCAAACCGTTCCAGCTCGCGGTGATCAACTCGGACCTTCTGGGCTTGTTTCAGCACTTGGCTCAATTGGCTCAAGGTCACAACCGACAATTCAGACGAAAATAGAACGCAAATCTACTGAATATGCTGAGTTGTACTGACATGTGGCTTTATCATGATTGTTTGGCTAAAAGATGTTAAAAGCTTTCAACCAAAATGTGAGACAAGCAGGGACACAAGAAGGGAGACAAGTGAAGAAGCGAGGGAGACAAGCACGGGGACAAGTGGAGACAAGTGTAGCAAGAAGGGAGACGAGCAGGGAGACAAGTGGGACAGCGTAAAGCCACTTGGCCAAGAGTGTCTAAGCAGGGAGCAGGCGAAGAGGCAAGCGGAGACAAGTGTAAAAGCGTATCCAGAGCAGGCCGAGACAAGTGGAGACAAGTGAAGCAAGAAGGGAGACAAGCAGGGAGAGAAGTGTAAACTCATCCAACCGAGAGCATAGAAGCAAGAAGACAAGCAACCGGCCAAGTGTAATCCAAAGTAGGCCGAAAAAGTGGGAGACCAGTGGCGACAGGTGTAAAAACAAACATCCGGCCAAGTGTATCCAGAGTAGGCAGAGGAAACATCTCACGCGGCCCAGAGGACCCAGAGGGAGACAAGCGCAAAAGCATGCACCCAGAGTGTATTGGAGACAAGGAGAGACAAGTGGGAGACAAGTGCAAAAGCATGCAGCCAGAGCACCCAGAGTGTATTGGAGACAGGGAGAGACAAGGGGGAGGCAAGCCAGAGTACGGGAGACAAGGGAGACAAGTGGGAGACAAGTGTACAATCACGCGGCCAGAGCAGCAGAGTGTACTGGAGACAGGAAGACGAGGGAGACAAGTGACAAGCGGGAGACAAGTGTAAAATCATGCAGCTCAGACTGAGAGACAGCTGCAACATCATTCGTGTGGCAGGAACACAAACCGGGAGACACATGCAAAATCACGTGGCCCGCCCTTTCAAAGGAGTAAGAACCCCTCACAGCTAAACCTGTTTGGGGAATAAAATCATGCGGCCAGAGCACTGAGAGCATCCAGAGCTTACTGGGAGACAAGTGGGAGACAAATGGGAGACAAGTATAA